CCCCCCCCCCCCCCCCCCCAACAATTCCTTCTCAATCTCAAATTGACTTTCACATGTTAAATGAACATAAAAGTCAAAACAATACAGAAAAAAAAGTGCCCCTCTATCTGCAAATATACAATATTAAAAACAAAACATAATTGTCACCTATCTGGTAATGGAAAAAAGCAAAACTGAAACTTGACTGCCTTGATGCCCTTGAGTGTTGACAGTCAAGACACAATGTCATAAAAAATAAGTGCCAATAATCTAAGAGGAACAAATAGGAACAAATCTCAGCTTACTCAAGCAAAGATTTTTTTTCCTGACGAATTTTCTAGATCAATGCTCCTCCCTTCCCATATATTGTTGGACTACAAATATAAACAAGAATAAAAGACATCTCCAGGGATTTACATTTCAGAATAACAGTAAAGTTGAACCACAAAACTCAACCCAGGAAATAAAACGAGCATAAAAAACAGACCATGCCAAATTAGAATAAAACAAAGTAACCATTCTCAGTGCGGCTAAACAAAATCAATGTCTACAAAGTGAAGTCCTTAAAAGGCCAGTCAGTCCCACGACTGAAAACATAAAGCAAAAAATGGCCATTGTGAAAGGAAGACTGAGAACATAGGTACAGTACAGAACAACAAAAAGCCAAGTGAACTGGACGGGCAGTTTCCAGACAAGTAGTCTATTGGTTGCGGCGTATTTTTATGGTGACCACATTAACATTTTTTTTAAAAGGTGAAGAAAACCAAACAGGATGTGGTATGTGGTTGGATGAAGTCCATGACTGAGCACTTGCTAGGACATTGTAAGGTCCTTTTTTTGCAGGGAAAGAATAAGACATATCAACAGAAACAACAGAGGGAAAAGACAAGAAGTAGAGCCTACAAGAGGCACGCCCACTCCAACCATCCGCTCTAGAAAATAGCAGAGTTGAGTAAAGAGAAGCATGTCAACACGATAACCATCATAAAGTGCGGGAAGCAAGACATAAAGACAGAACCAACAGCGGAAAGAAAAGAAGTAGAAAACAAAACCCCAAACTGTAAAAGCTTTACTTCCAAAAAGAGGAAAATTAATCCATATCCTTTCTGCGACAAGATTAAAAGAGTCTATTATTACAATTTCCGTTTATTTTACAAGATCAAAGATATTTCACAAAGATGCATCCCAACCTCCCCACCAGAAAGATTAGCAGAGTCTGTTCCAGTATCAAATTTTCTCTTTTTTTACAGGGTCAAAGAAAACCCCCATCTCCCCAAACACACCTTTTGCCAATTTGATACTGGTATCGTTCTTTAGATCTATGCCACATTAATTAAGTCTATTTCCATGCTCGAAAACGGGATTTTTTTTG